CCTCATTAACCCACCATACAAACACATGCACCTGTTACAATATAGGCACCTGGGAGATGGCGCTCCCACACACCCGTGCGCAAGGCATCGTCTCCCTCACAAAACCCCTTGTCTCTTAATCCTATCCCCAAATATGGGATAGGACTGTCACTTCCGCTGGAGGACCCGCTCCTGCTATCCTCTGCGCTGTCTTCCGATCCGGCTGTCTCAACGTTGTCTTCGCTATCGCTGTCCATTTCCCCACTGGGGAGTCTTGAAAGATCCTGTGCCAAGTGTTCCTCTGCCAGGTGGATGGTCAGACGAGTGGCCAGAGCACTTGGTGGCTGAGTGTGCTGGCTGGGGAGAAGGCCCTGGGGCTCCCACTCATCACACAGACACTCAATGTAGACAGAGCCTGCTCTGGTGTCTAGAGACCCCTGGCTCATCGTGAGCATGGTCACAGGATTAACACTCCCAGAGCCCATGTTGCTGCACCTCATTCACAGCGATGTGGGATGGAGCCTCACAAGGAGCTGGCAAAATGACCAGGAGGGTCTCGCTCCTTTGCCATGGGATGAGGGAAGGTGCTCCCCAGCCCCAGCACATGGGAAGGAGCATCCAAGGAACCCATCACTCTACACAAGGAGATTGGAGGCCAGGGGCTTTCCCCGCCTGCCTCTCCCTCCTGCAGCCAAACACAACCCTCTGCAGGTCCAGGAGAAGCAACTCGGCCCAGAGGGAAGACAAAAGAGGTCCCCCACAAGAGAGGGCAACACATCCCATCTCCTGCTGCCAACCTTTCATTCAATGCAGGAGAGTCACAGGGAGGTTGGGAGAAACAAGATAAAGCAAACACTGATTCTGCCCCAAGAAACTCTTTGTTCCCAGTTCCTGAGGATCTTAGGAACATGGGATACCGGGCAGAGGGGGCATCTCACACCCATGAGCCCAGTCCCTGGCTAGTGCCCACAGCCAGGCTACACAATCCCTTCCACACACAAATCAAAGCTCTATTTTACAGCTAGCCAAGTCTGGCCTCTCCACTGCCTAAACACTGCTGCGCAGCCCCCAGCCCAGTCGCCCCCGGGGTGCAGCCTCCCCACAGCAGAGTGTAGGGAAGAGCCCACAAAACCCCAGGGTCTGTTAACACCCCAGCTCCGGGTCACCGTCTGCAAGAAGGCAGGAAGAAAGCAGCAACAATTACCCAGGCCTCCCCTTTGCCAGGGCAGTGGAAGGGGGTTAAAGTGCTCCCAGTATAGAAACCTCCAGCTCCCACCAAAACCAATACAAAAGTGCAGAAGAGCATCCTGCTGGCTAGAACCTGAGCCTAGGATTTAGGAGACCCAGGTTCAAATCCCAGCACCGCCACAGACTCCCTGTGTGATCTTGGGCAAGTCCTTTAGCCTCTCTTTGGCCCAGTGCTCCTGTGAGGCAGGAATGATAGCAATGAGAGGGGCATTGTGCGGATAAAGATATTAACGCTTGGGAGACGCTCAAGCACTAGGGTCTGGAGTAAACAACCTTCTGAGGTCCCTCTCAAGCCTAATTTTCTATGAGTCTATGCTTTGGTGACAATGAGTGCTCAGGAAGGTAAGAAAAGGACTTAACTTTTGCTTTTGACCTGGAGAAGGATATCCACACATGGTGGGTGTGAAGGGTGACCTGGAGGAGGGGAAACAAAGAGCTGGGACCCCTCTCCCTGGCACCCGAACACCTCTCTACCTGTTAGCTGGCAGCATGGGACCATTTTCCCACTGCTTGCCACAAAGCAGGAGGAAAAATCAGTCTGGTAGAGTGCAGAGGAGCCTAGTGATTATGACTCTTTCACCTAGCAGCAGCTTTGAACAAGATGTGGCCTCACACACCCAGGCTTCAGAAACCACCCACAGATTATGGCCACCAGGGGATTGGGAAACTGGATTAGGAGGAACATTTTCTTCCTGCCAGAGCTGTGGACATGACTAGGGAATTAAGTGACTAGCCTGCTCTCAAACCAGGAAGAACCGTGCAGCAAAAGCAGAGGACTTCCCAGGCTGCTCAAACAGCCGCTGCTTTGTGCGGCTTCAACCAGAAGAACCACAAGTTTGTTTCCAAAACTCCCCAGGGCAGCCCCTGCCAGGGATCAGCAGATTGCACCAACCTGTTTGGGGTTTTCCTCTGCACGGTCCCTGCAAGGGATCCTTTTCCCCGCCCCAGGACTCGAGCGCCGGCTTTGCTGGTGTCTCTGCATAGAGCTGAGACTTGGCCCCCGCCTCTAGTTCTTTTTGCTTTCGGCTTCAGGTTTTTGCAGGTAGATCAGGAAAAAACCCAGAGCCAAGAAGAGCAGCAGCAGCAGGAGAAAAGGCAGCAGCTCAAGCATGGAATGCAAATGCAAGATGGGCATCCTCACAGCATCGGCCCCACCACCGCAAAAGCACCCCTGGGAGTCCAGCAGGCCGGAGCAGCCAGAGCCTCCCTGCTGCTGTCCTTACTGTTCAAGCTTCGTCGGGGTCAGTTGTTGCCAGGCGGATGGATTCTTTCCATTGCAAACCTGAGGGTTTCCTCTTAGGTCATTTCCTCACAGCCTGAGCCAAAGGGGGAGGAGGAAGAGGAGAGATGCAGCAGCAGTGCCACCTCCTGGCTTACTGGCGCCCAGCTGCTCGGCTCTGGCCATCCCAGCTCTGCTCCTCTTCGTCAGTCCAGTACCTGGGGATGAGAGCATTTGCATTTGCCTCTTAACTCTTTGTCTAAGGCTATAAATGAACTGCAGGTCTTTGACAGTCCCAGCTTTTGGTCTCTCCATGTGAATTTAGCTCTAGGGAGGGCTGCAAGCCAGGCAGGCTGAAGGACTCTACTGGGACACAGGCAAGTGACAGTGAAAAGAAGCTGCAAGGCAGATCTCTTGCATTGAACTAAAAATGTGCCCCAGCCCTGCCTGGACTCAGATTTCATAGACATTTGGGCTGGAAGGGACCCCGGAGGATCATCGAGTCCAGCCCCCCGCCCCATGGGCAGGATGTCAGCAGGGATCATAGGATCCCAGCAAGACAAGCATCCAAATGTGTCTTGAAGGCATTCAAAGTAGGTGCTTAAACCGCCTCTGGCGGCAATCTATTCCAGGCCTTGGGGACTTGGACAGTGAAGAAATTCTTTCTTATGTTCAGCCTGAATCAGTCACAGTGGAATTTGTGAAGGTTTGATCTTGTCATCCCTTGGGGCGCTCTGGTGAACAGACGTTTCCCCAGATCCTGGTGAGCACCCTGGTGAACTTATAGGTGGCCACCAGATCACCCCTGAGCCTGCGTTTTCCAGGCTGAAGAGCCCCACGGCTCTCAGCCTCTCATCGTAACATCTGTTTTCCTGACCTCCGATCATGCGCGTGGCTCTTCTCTGCACTCTCTCAAGCTTCTCCACATCCTTTTTGAATTGTGAGGCCCAAAACTGGACGCAGTACTCCAGCTGCAGCCTCACCAAGGTTGAGTACAAGGGGAGAACGACATCCCGGGATCTGCT